AACTATGACAGGCTGAAATTGAAAGGGATCACAGTGCCAGGCCAGTCTGGGAAGAAAAGCCTGAGGGACTCCATCTCCATAGAAGGGAAGCTGGACACAGTGGCACATGCCTGTGATCTCAGTGACAACAGGAAGCCTAAATTAGTAGGCAGGTCATGTTTGAGTTGTGGGCCTGGGTGGATAGTGAGACTCTATCCTAAAAATAACCAGTGAAAAGCCTCCTGAAGATGTGTCTCAGTGCTATCCTGTTATCCTCGCAAGAGTAAGGTCCTGAGTTCAAACTCTCAATGTACCACACCAAAAAAAGAGACAATATGACCCCCAAACTCCCTCATAAACAGTTTAAATGTCTGCCCATTATTCTTATTAGCACAGTGTGGCATACTTCAAGTGCTTAGTTAACTACTTAGTTAACTTGCTGAATAAATGAAGAGCTTAGCCAAGTCATTTATCTTCTCTGAATCTGTTTCCTCATGTGGTAGATAAATAATGGTTATTATTCTTATTTCACTTGTGTTGTCTCTCCCCATACTGTATCAGTCTGCTAGCCCCTTTCCCAGATCTTGTACCAAAGAGGCTGCCCTAAGTAAACCTCCTTTATTAAGGGTCACAAAGGGCAGATGTGTCCAAGGCCTTTTTCTTTCCTCTAGTGTCCCTTCATTTCTTTTTCTATCCCAGGCAAACCTTGGGGTATAGCTCTGGAAACTCAGAGCAAGTGTTGAAACCTGAAATTAAAACTCTAGCACATATTCACAAATACACAATGAACTCTGCTGCCTCCCTAGAGGGTTGGGTTTGGGAGGCAACCTGAAGCTCTGAGCCCCCTATGGGCCCCCATTTGATTCAAATGTCATCAGTATCACAGACTAGCAGGCCTCCTACCTCTTCCCCCATTTCTTCATGCAGAGCTAGCCAGGCTTGAGGAGCTGGTCCCCTCTGGGGACTGATCCCATCAGCACTGTTCCAACTCTGGAAGCTTCACTGTGAGCTAATTCCTGTGAAGTATGTGAACCAGAGGAAAGGCAAACAACTCCCAGAATGTGAAGATAGGGCAAGGAAGATTTTCCAGAAGTAGTCATGAGGTAGGCTCAGCTATGTACTCTTTAACCCATACTTCCTTGTGAATACATACCTTTAGGGGAAATCATTGGCATCCTAAATTTGAGAGCAATTCATATGGGAGCAAAACAAACCTTGTCTCTCTTTAAAGGGGACAGCTAGAATTGACTCTCTGTTGTTTTATTTTTCCCCCCTTTTTCTCTCAGAAAGACTAATGGACAGAAAAGATGGGGGTAAAGCTAGGTTATCTGATAGCATGTGGAGTACATCTCTCTAAGACATATCTTCTTGAGTCTGGTTGCCAACAGGCTAAACTCTCAGCCTTTGTGCTTGTAAGGGATTTTGTGAGAAGGAGAAAATAAAAACAAGCTCAAAGGCTGAACAAATTCAACTAGACATGGTGGATGACCTCCCTCACCTATAGTGGGGCTAAATGCATCTAATAGCTTATTGACATATCACCTCCCCATGTCACCCTGTGTCCTCAAACCTGCTTTTTGTTTTGAATAGTGTGCAAAGCTCAGTGAGAAACAACCAGCTTCACTGTGGATTTTACTTGCAAGAACAAATGGCTGTCTTGGAGATAGGTTCAGGAAAATCTTTTAGAATGTAGAAAATTCAGCAGCCTTTCCACACTGACCATTGTCATGGCAACACACTATCTGATGGCAGCCTGCGTCACCAGGCTGAGGGGCATGGTATCAGTATAGCAGGTTAGCCTGGCCATTTTTAGCAACATTGGACTTTTTTCTAGCCTCATTTCTTCTAGGTTGAGCTGATTTTCTTTTTGATTCTGGACTCATGTACTCTGCCGATTTTCATAGCTAGAATGTAAGACTTTGTTAATATGAAAGAAGATGGCTAAATAGAAAAATTTGAACATTTCTAGTATTCTATAGACTCTGTACTTGTTGTCCGCCCTTCCTGGATCCTCATCACCTACTATGAGTGACTTCCATTCTTCTCCTCTGCATTGATTCTTTCCTATATAACACAGCATTACACTCCCCCTTATCCCCCGCACCCCCGCAACTGTGACTCATCCACCAACCTTGCACTCTTACCATAGTCTTTTTTTCTTTTTTCTGTGTTCTCATTGCAATGTACAGCATCCTGGAATTTTAGGGTGGGAAGGAACCTTGACAATAATTCAGTCTAATCATCCTCCCCACTCAAAGAAGAAGCAGCTTTAGAGTGTGACAGCCAAGTGATCTTCTAGCCTATACTTGTATATTTCAAATGACAGAGACTGGATTCTTTTATGGGCAGCCTGCTCTACTTTGGGAAGCTGTGTTAGAAAAATCTGTCCTTCAATTGCAAGAAAATCAGTCTTTAAAAAATAATATCTATTCATGGATTCAGCTCTGTGCCCTGTGGCCATATAGACCCTGTCTCTGTCCTCTGCTCTGTGACAGCCTCTGCAGAGATATGAAATAGAGATTATGTGCCTTTCCTTCTCCAGAAAGCTTTAGCTTCTCCAAGCAGACCTCTTGGAGCCTGGGCTCCAGTCCTCTCTGTAGTCCATCTGACCTCCTAGAACATGCTCCTATTTGTCTAGAGCCCTTTTAAAGTGAGGTCGATACTGCATCAGTATCTCTGGAGGCCACCTTGCCCCACTGACTCATGCTGATCTCTGTGTCAACTACAATCCCTAATTCTTCTTTCAGATAAAATGCTGCTAAGCCTTGTCCTTTTATTTGGTATGTGTCTAGTTGCTTTAGAGGACCCAGTTCCTCATCCATATGTTTTTCTCCCAGTTTAGATTCATTGTTACAACCAGAATACTGATTTAACCGAACAGAATCTTTAAAAAAAATGACTTCCATGTAACTTCCATTTCCTCTAGGATTTATTTGCTTTCCACCCAAGGCTAGAGCCTTTAAAAAAATCTCATCTCTCATTCATTTCTCTTTTAGGTGTCTTACTTCTCCTAATTCTTTTCCCTTGTCATTTACTTTCCTTATGATTTTCCAGGCTTGACATTTCTATTTCTTCTATATCAAGATGTCACACTCTGTAGAGCTATGGGGACTAGAGATGTGTGCAGAGAAACAGGGCACACACATACCCCCACACACATAGGTGTGAGTAAGTCGCTGCAGAGGCTTGTAGGGTTTCTCTGTTTTTATTGCTCTGTCTGCGCTCTACCAGGATTTAGAGACTGGATAGGAAAAGGGGCAGAGTTGAAGGAAAAGGGATAAAAATTGGTCTAAGATGAGTCCTGAAAGAAACTGGAAGTGTGTTTGAGTCTGAGAGGCACAGGGGGAAACCAGGGAAGGATTGCTGGCATTCATCAGGGCTGCAGCACAGGGGGAAGGACTGGAGAAGAGCCAGCTCTGGAAAGTCTTGAAGATAAGGGAGGATTATTTGGTTAGGAAATGAGGACTTGTGGGGTGAGTGGCCATTGATAGATCAGAGGGAGATGGCTTCAAACAGCAGAGTTAGGAGGAGGCTGAAGGCAATAAACAATGCTTTGAGAGTCCACAACTTATTAGCTTCCAAAATTTCTCTGGCTAAAGCTCAGAACATGGAATCTTTGCGTAAAGGCACTGCTGTCATCATAGAGTAGTCTTTGCTGGTGGAAATAGGGCTTAATACAACCCTCAACAAAAACCCTTAGGACATAGAATGTTCCCTCAGACTAACTGCAGCCTCCTTTCATGCTGGATTACATTCCAATGAGGGAGCCCAAGGTTCCAGAACTGGCACTATCTTAGTAATTTTATGAATAAATGGCAATTTTACTCTTTACAACAGGCAATATGATACCTTTGACTTCTCAACTCTGCAAATAATTAGAATCCAAAAGCTACACAGGACATAACACAATGATTATATCAATTATACAGGAAAATAGCTGCTTGAAATACATAAAAGCAAATGCTAAATGGGAAGTGGGTTGTAAAGAAGCAGCTGGGGCTGATCTGGGGCACTACTGGAGAACTGAGGGTAGTGACCCTACACAGCTTGTGGACAGTATGATCAGGAGGGCAATGGTCCAGTGATCACCATTTCCCCTGAACTCTGAGGCTGGAATGACTCCAAGGCAGCCTCAGGGGAGAGAAGAAAAGCGCAGCTGTTCCATTCCCTGCTCCACTCTAGGTAAAACTGGGGAATCCATTCCCAGGCCATGAGAATCCCTGACTACTTAGTGGACTTTCACAGTCTCTCAAGGCTCTATTACACCAAAGATACATCCACACTAGAAAACAATATCTGTGAGCCCATTTCTCACTTGGACTCCTTCAGGGCTAAACTGACTTTAACTTCTTTTCATCTTTTTTTTGTGTGCCAGTCCTGGGCTTGAACTCAGGGCCTGGGTGCTGTGCTAAAGATTTTTGTTGTTGTTGTTCAAGGCTAGCTGCAGCTCCACTTCCAGCATTTTTGTTTGTGGATGACTGGAGATGAGTCTCACAGACTTTGTTCCCTGAGCTGGTGTTGAACTGTGATTCATAGATTTCAGCCTCTTGAGTAGCTAGGATTACAGACATGAGCCACTGGTGGCTGGCAAACTTCCCTCATCTTAAACTAGAGAGTTTTCTTTACAGTGCTGTAGATGGAATCCAGGACTTTACACGTGCTAGGCAGACATTCTTACATTGTGCCACACACTTAGCCCTTAAACTCAGTTTTACGAGTTGGCCTTTTGAAAGAAAAAGTATGTCAGGACAGATTTTAGAACTGATTTCCCCCTTAGAGGTGCCTAATGATGAACCTTTTGTTTTTCTGAAGGTGACATTAGCCAGCCAAATGACAATATCAACCAGTGTCCTGTGATGGATTCTGGCTACAAGCTGTCAAGCCCAAAAGATGTTTCCTTTCCAAGTCAGTGAAATGATTAGGCAGGAAAAGACAAATGGTATTTGAGGAAGTCCCCCCCACGAAGGGTTACCACAAACTGAGTGGAATCAGGAGGGCAGAACTTGAAGGGTGGTGCTCACCTTTGATGTAGTTGAGGATTTTCTGGATTTGGTGGGGCTCATTGCGGTCTGGCCGGCAGCTTGGCGTGATTTCCAGCACATAATCAGGACCATATGCTGTGAAAAACTGTAAGGAAAAGGGAAAGGCCAAAAAACAAACTAAACCACATAAAACCTCTAAGCCAAACCACATACAAACAGGACAATCAAAAGAAACTTACCTCTACCAACAAGGCCAAGAAGGCTTCACTGGGCAGGAGGCCCTGCAATGGTGGCATTACTGTTCCTTTAGCCTTCAATGACATGAGATTACTCAATTCTTTTTTTTTGGGGGGGGGTCCGGTCGTGGGGCCTGAACTCTGGGCCAGGGCGCTGTCCCTCAGCTCTTCAGCTCAAGGCTAGCACTCTACCACTTGAGCCACTTCCGGCTTTATTTTCTTTTTGCTTATGTGGTGCTGGGGAATCGAACCCAGGGCCTCAGGCATACAAGGCAAGCGCTCTACCACTGAGCCACTTTCCCAGCCCAGATTACTCAATTGTTTAGCTTGCTATTCAAGGGCTCCTTTGCTCAGGTCTTAACTTCTGTCTCCATCAATAGTTTTTATCTCTCCCAGTTCTCTAGCACACAACCCTGTTCTGTGCTCTCCCAGACATCCTTGTGTTGTCTTCCTGTAGGATCTTTGTCATTGCTCTTTCCTGGGGCTTGCAAAGGCCCACCTCTAATCCCTACTGCCTGAACTGTGCGTATGTGGGATTCCTCATCCTTCCAGGTGAAGATGAAATGTTAGTCCCTTTACAGGCTGTCTCTTATTCTCCACCAAACCCCACAGCATTCTGTTGGCACCTATCTTATGGGCCTCGTTTGCTTTGGTAGACAGAACTGGACTGCCTAGCATATGCAGGTCACATGCCAGTGGCAGTGAGGACTGTAATCATGGAGGTGGCTTCCTTTGCCATGCTCTAGGTGTTCACAAGCACATTCTGAATCAGATGATAGTTTCCCACAATGCCTGGATTTCTCCTCTTCCACACTGGAAGGCGGCAGTCCTCATGTTTTCATCTCTGAGGGCCTCAGCCCATGGCAGCTGCCTTAGACATTGGGTGCCTTGAATCCCTTTCCCCAGGAATGGCAAACAAGTTGAGTTTTTCTATTTTAGATTTTATTCCTCTGTAGTGCAGTTTGTTTCTTAAATTCAAGGAATCAAATTAAAAGTTTGTGGATTCTATTTCTGACTTACTTGATGACTCCTTGTGACCCCTGATAAGTCATAATAACTGACTGAGTTTCTGTGTTAGGGTCCATTTGGTGGAAAACACTACAACAAAGGGAATCATTCAATTGAGCCAAGTCTTTGAATGGGGGATAAACAAAGCTACTATTTCTGTTTAGTTTTGAACAGAAATAGTATTTGTGTACACTCTCTGGAGAGACAGCATATGGTCCTTAAAACTATGTGCTTTCAACAGTGATACTGTCAGAGGATAAGAAAACCAGGGAAATTCAAATTCCATGAAAAAGAAAATGGTACAGTGAGCATGAAAACAGGGATCTTGATATGTGTCATAATTTCAATGCCATTCAAAGAGTTTTTTTTTACAAACAATCCACACTTATTGCCATTGTCACCAAATTATCCTTGTTAGGAGTCTACATGTGCATTTGGCATTGTGGGAGATGTTGTGGAACAATCTCTAGGGATTCTTGCAATGGAATCCATGGGAGTCATTTGATGGGGAGATAGCTTTTGCACATCCACGACAGAAATGTCTGCACATTTAATTTAAATGAAAATGCCTCAGATTGTTCTACTAATGCCATGTTATGTGCATGAGCATGTGTGCGTGCGTGTGTATGCTAACTTAGAATGGCAGGAGGACTTAGGTCTTTCCTGCTGCATGAAGCCTGACACCCCAAATTGTAGAAATGGAAGAAGCTATGAGTTGAAATGGTCTTTAGCAAATGCATATATGGAACAGAGATGAGAGGTTACTTGAGGAAAAATTCAGAAACTAACTTTCCACTGTGGCTGAGGAACTATAAGGAATTCCCCTCCCTCTTTTTGTACTGAGGCTTGAATTCAGGAATTGAGTGTTTTTCCTTAGCTTTTTTCACTCAAGGCCAGTGATCTACCACTTAAGTTACAGCTCTATTTTTGGCTTTTTGGTTCTTAATTGGACATTAAGAGTCTTATGGACTTTTCTGCTTGGGCTGGCTTTGAACTGAGATTATGTTAGTTTTCAACCTCCTTATTAGTTAGGATTATAAGTTTAAGCTACCAGTGTCTAACAAGCCTTCTATTTTTAACCAAGGAGGGCTCCTTGGTACGAGCCTAAGGACTTTGTGGGCTTGGCTCTGAAAGAGAAGGCTTCAAACAGGTGTAGTGCCCTTGCCTTATGTAGCCTCTTTTCAACAGGGTCAAGTGCTACACTCATCTAATGGCTATGGAAAGAGAGGCTTACAAAGAGCACAGCAGGGCTGGGAAGGTGGCTCAGTGTAGAGTGCTTGCCTTACATGCATGAGGCACTGGGTTCGGTTCCTCAGCACCACATAAGCATATAAAGCCGAAGTGGTGCTGTGGCTCCAGTGGTAGAGTGTTAGCCTTGGGCTGAAGAGCTGAGGGACAGCGCGAGAGGCCCAGAGTTCAGGCCCCACAACTGACAAAAAAAAGGAAGAAAGAGCACAGCAGAAGAAAGGCAACTGCAATGATGTAGACCCCCCTGGCAGACCCAAGCCCTTAGTATCATAATGCTATAAAAATCAGAAGCAAGGGGCCTCATTGAGGTATAGGATGAGGGAACATTCTGTCTCTGCATGCAGAAATGACACTGATTCTTGGTCAGCAAGGCATGTCATGAGCCATTTGCCCAGGGCTGAGGGTTTGGAACAACATGTTCTTACTTGTGAATGCCTACTGTGTGGTTACCCACACTCTGCTACTTTAGTCTTCTTTGACCAGGAGCACACAGTGGCTAACCATACCATCAGCTGGGGCCAGAACTGACTACCACGTGACAGAATTCAGTTCTACTAGGATTAAGCCTTTTGTCCTGGCTTCATTTGGAGCTGGCTTTAACTGTGCCACATATTGGGCAGTTATCAATAACCCATGCTTTGCTGAAGCAAGCTACATGAAGTTAACAGCCATGTCTGACCACCCAAACTTGTCCCCACTTTTGTCAATCCAATACTATGCTCGGGTTCTGCTTCTTTGCATTGTTTTTGCATTAGGGGATTCAGATGATTTAAGGAAGTCCCAGTGTTGGGAGGCAGTTCCACATGGAAGCTTGCTGGCTCTGTTCTCAGAAGTTCTGCTTGGGGTACCAGTAAGACATAGACTCTATCTAAAGCAAAGGTGGTCCTGTGTGTCCCCTCTCTGGCTCACTCATGGCATTTCCCTGTTTCTGTGTTGTGTCTGAATTTTTCACTTGTCAAATTGCCTTTACCAGTATGAATTCTGCAAAGGTAGAAACTTCTGGCATGTTCTCTTTGTATACCCTGTAGAGTCAAACTCAAACCATCACAGCTTTTCCTTAAAGATATGTAGAATTAAATAGATTCACTACAGCTTTAGCTAACTGTTCAGGTAATTGTGTGGAGTAATTCAGAGTTCCCCCCAGAACAAACTGCGTCCCTAGGCTCTGGAGGCTTCGTGGTGTAGTGGAAAGAACACTGGCTTCACAGTCAGAGAAAACCGGAATGTGGTACATGGATTTAGCTGTGTGCTTCTGGTAAGCTTGTTAATCTCTGTTTCGTCATCTCTACCTCAGGGATAATAAATGCTGACCTGGTTGGGCTGTTAGGAGGTAGGGAGATAATATCTACCATAAGCTGAACTCAAGATCTAGAATATAGTAGGCCTTTGATAAATGTGAATTCCCTTTCCCAGTACAAGAGGCTTTTGCCTAACCATGTCTTCTCCACATCCTGAGGGATGGTGGGTGAAGCTCTGATTCTAAGCTGAGATGCAGAAAGAAGAGCCTGTTCCTCGTGCCAGACCAAGCCTATTAACAACCCCAGTGTGTCCCTCCGCACTTGCTTCAGTAATGACTGAAGTTTAGCCTGGGGCCAGTGGAGGGACTGATTTCTCTCATTGTTTCCAGTACTGTGGTTTTGCCACTTGTTACTGACTAGTGAGGTAGAGAGGAAATATGATCACAGAAGGCAAAAGAGATGTTGGGGTGGAGGGATTTGGCCAGCACTCGAAATAGCTTGAGGCCCCACCCTGGAACTGCCCTCCAGCTCCTAAGAGGAAAGGAACTGCACGAAGCAATCCATCCCAGACAGGTGGGGCACTGGATGAAAGAGGCCAGCCGACCTTCAAGGGAAAACATTGGCTTTGATCTCAGCAAAGGAAGGAGGGAGGTACTAACCCCTCTCCACCCCTTCCCCTTCCCCTATCCCCTCAGCACTCCTATGGTTTCCAGGGTTCTAATGGAAGTATTTTGGAAGGGAACCTTGTACTGGGGATGAGGCAGTGGAAGGTATGAGGTGGGGTGGAGGGCGGGGAGTTGAAGGTAACAAAGGCTTTAGAGCAGTCTGTCATTTCTAGACCTTAGAGTCAATGAATAAAGGAATGTAAATAGCTCAGCTCCAGTATACATCAGCCCAACTTAATGCTCCATTCTTGCTCAATCCTTTCCAGCTCTTGCTCACACAATGAAAACAGCATACAATTAGCTACTTGGTCAAAAGGATATCAGAAGAAGCCCTAAAGTTGCTGTATGCCTCGGTAATCCTGTTTGGTCACGGGAAACCAAGCCACAAACCTGAATCAGCCGATCCTTTTATCCTTCCCTGGACATTTAGTAAGTACCTACTATGTGCCAGTCTAGGTTAGTCACGGGGGTATAGGGACAATGAGACATGTTTAATAGAGGTTTTTTTTTTTTTTTTAAAGAATCAGTACAATGAATGGTATAGTAATAATGTTAAAAATCAAAGTAATGCCAGCTAACATTTACTACAGGCTTATTTTGTGTTAAGCACTTTTGATAGATTGACAAACTTAATTCTTACACGCAACCTGTGTGGTAGGGACTATTATGGTTTCCATTTTATGGCAAGGAGCTGAAATCCAGACTCACATACAATATGTGAAAAGCTGAGATTTGCATGGAGGTCATTCT